CAAGTTATATAAGAAACTGCAAGCTTCAGGGCGGCTGGTTTTATAGTTTTGCATTGAAGAATGGAAAATAAACACTGCCTTTTCAAACACACAGGGACAGGATAGGTAATGGAGCACCCAGATGACTGGAGGGGATAAGCGGAGACACTTTTGAATAATCAGCTTACCATTGTAGCTTTTTTAGTTAGGTGAACTAACTTCAGCTTCTGTTTAAGTATTTTTTTTCTCCTTTGACCTTTAGGAGGTGGAAATATGATGGTATGAGTTGACTTAAAAATATCCCAGGGTAATTTTCTTAGGATGAAAATTTTGCCTCTAATTTCAGAGTTTCTTCTCTGCTTACTACAGCACAGGGAGTCCTAGCCCTTCCTCCAGCACGGTGTCCCATTTCAAAAGATAATAAAAGAAATTAACCTTGCGATGCTACTTAGAGCCACAGATGGCCTCTGTGACCTTGAGAGGTCCAGCCTCCTCCTGGTGCTTCAGTTTGTGTGACATGAGGGCAAGACACTGGCTAGGGCTGTCAACCGGGTTGCCCTTGTGGCATGACCTGGAAGCCTTGAATCCTTGGAGCCAGAAAGCCCCAGATAAGTACACTATTGCTAATCACAGGGTCCTTATTCTGAGCACAGTGTTGACTTCAGAAAGTGCATGGAGGGATGGAAAGTCCTAGTAAAGGAGATCATCTTGAAGTGTACGTCTATAACGAGGGTGCATCAACTACCTGATTCCCCAGGGCCCCTTCCCAACACCAGTTGACAGACAGAGCTCCCTATCCATTTACCAGGGGCCCAAGTCAAGGCTGGTATAAGTCAAGGCTGGTATAATCTCTACTCCCACCTGTACTTCCCCAGTGGAGGCCAGCTGGAAAAGTGAAAGAGTCCAGGCAACTCAAACTGCCTATCTATTCATGTTCAATTAGCCTGATTTTTGTCAGAAATTAAGCAGAAAGGGTAACCAACCAGGAGTTTTCTAGAGCATTCTAGAAAAGAAAATGAGAAAACAAAGCCACCGAAATCACACTGAGTCTGTGACCCTAACCCTAACCCTAACCCAAAATCACATCTGCCTCCTGAATGGCAGCCTTGCCTCCTGCCAATCACGCACCTCTTACGCTGCCCCTCTCTTGTTTGGCAAGAGGCAAGAATACAAGTCTTTGGCAAACATGCGTTCAAGGTCCCTGGACACAAATAACAGAAAGACAGACAGATGAGAAAAGAAAAGGAGAAGGGAAAGAAGGGAAGGGAGAAAAGGGGCAGAATCTCATTCCACATCTGACTAAGATTTATTTTGTCAATAGAAGGGAAAGGAGGTAGGGGAGAAGGGCAGGGAGTAAAACCCAGAGAAGGAAGGGATGCTGGGAGGAGAGGCGGGGAAATCTGGGGGGAGGGCGAGGGGAGAAGGAAGGAGGGAAGGGAAGAGGATGGAGGAGCAGGGTGACAGGACAGCCCAGAAAACGATGCAGGTTCCACTTAATTTTCACTTAACATTTGACTTTGGTGAGGTCACAAAGACAAACTTGCTTAGAGACGACGGTTGTGCAGTTTAATTTTGTTTTTAAAGGCTTGCTGACTTCATTCCTAGAGATGGACCTATAGGAAGGGTCACCAGTGACTCGGCCTTGCTGAAGACGAGGACCCCCTTCGAGTCCCCGCAAGCCCCCTTTCAGGGAGAGAAGCCTCACAGACTGGCAGGCCTGGGTAGCAGGACCAGGCCCTTCCTAGGCCACTCCACAAGGCACAGACAGAGCCCCCCACAGGGCATGGAAGGTCTCTCTGCCTTTTAAATATCCAGCCCTGGAGAGGAAGACTTTACTGCCAACAAAGTGATCTTCTTGTTTTCCTAAGCATTTGTTCATTCCTTAATAAATAATGATATTAGGTCTTTGGGGGGCAGAAGGGAAGAACTGCCAATAGGAGATTTAATTTGCTATAATCAACCCCTCTTAGCATGCAGAGTCACACGGTACAAGTAGAAGGATTAATCTCTACCAGGAAGAATCGCCTCTTTGGTGTTATGAATCTAATCACTTACGAGGCTGAGTCGGCAGTTTGGGTTTAGACAGAGCCCTCAGGAAGAAAAGCCACAAGATCAGCCTTCAAAGGCAGTCTGAATGGTATACTTCATTGAATTGGGGGGCCTGTGGACTACAGAGGGAATGGAATGCAAATAGAGGCGCTTTGCCTCTTGTAGATACCCCATAATGTTCAGACAGACATTTAGGGAATGAATAAATAATGACGGGCCTCTGGGCTGCCCATGTGAGATGTTCCTCCTTGATACTATTCTAGAATGGACTGTCAGACCTGCCACTCATCCCCAGCAAGCCCATCATACTTGGGAGAGGTGTCTGCTCTGTGCGAACTGCTTTACAATCCTCAGAGGTGGGATTTCCTCGCCCAGCAATGCTTTTTGCCTTTGACATTCTCCTAAGCAGGATTTATTGCTTCTAAGACAGATGTGGCTTGAATCGATTATGCCTTTTAAGCAGTCACTCTCGAAGCAGCCTCAGGTTCTCTGGAATACTTTTTGCCTGACTTCATTCAACTTGCAAGCTGATGTCAGAGTATTTCATCATAATCTAATACTATTAAGAGTCCTTTGGGGATGGAACTGAGCAGCTATTACCCCAGCCAAGTTAAGGGATACGGTTACTACCTCGAGGAGCTAACATCCCGCAATACACAGCCTATCACACACGTCTATGAATACCACCAAATGCAGTCGAATGGAAGGAGGTGCACAGAAGTTTTTTTATTCTGGTGACCTCCCTTTATTGATGAACTCAGAATATGAAATAAGTAGCTTCTTTTGTCTTTAGAACTGATGTAGGAAGCAATGTCAAAAATGGAATGGAAAATAACTGAATTTCCAGAAATGCTCAATATGGATTCTCATTAAAAATCCTCTATGTCTAGAGGTCTACTTCAAAACTGCAAACCACGTATCACCCCTGACCAGCCCCAGAATATCAGGGTTCCTTAGCATTTTATAGGTTTGGCAACACTAATTTTGTAGAGATACTCTGAACCTGGGGTATTAGGTGACATGATTCTAACCAACTTCAGCCACAGGCCTTGAGTCATAACCACAAGTAATGTTTCAAAATGTCAGTGGTTTTGGGAGAAAAGAAATGAGGGGTGGTATTTTTAGGCTAAACTCAGCACAATTCATCTGATTCTGTATTAGTCTGAAAGACAAGAGAGAGGAATCTTGGAGTAAGAAGAGACACAATAAATAATAATGCCAAAGACGACAGCACTTTTACTATTTGACTTTCTATGATTTTTTTCCTCAGGAAGCAGACCCAACCCACCTTCCTTTCCGAGTGTGTGACTTAGGGGAACAGCCACCATATCCTGCTCCATTTCATGTAGCTATTTAAGTGAGAAAATTTCTAGCAGGCATTGTTTGGACTCAAGAGAGAATGAGATAATAAAATGTTCCTACACAGTAACCACATTACATGGGATATTTTAGTCCCATTGGATTAGGACAGGGAAAATTTGCAGGCAAAATGACTGTAGATTAAAGTTGTCCAATGAATTCAGCATTTAGGGAGAGAAAATATTTTCTTAAGCAATGTGAAACATTTTGGAATCCAGGCACTGGCAAGTTCATACGTGAAGGACAGGGAAAAGATGAGTGGTTTTCATTCATTTAGATTTTACCAACTGGAGTTTCCATATTCTCTTTGAGGATTCATTTAGGTAGCTCTCCTGTATGGGGTACTAGCTATAGGATTGACTCCAGGCAGTGAGGAAAGTTAATCCTTAAGAACAGTTTGATCTGTTGCATTTGGTAAATTGTTCTAAATTTCCCTTTTTTCTGAGTTTCAAAGCTGGCTGTTATAGTTTCAGAATCTGTCCTTTCTCTACCAGACAGGCTTGGGGGAGAAAAGAGAAGCTGAATGGGCAGCTCATAATAAAGGAGAGAAGGGAGAACGCTGAATGAAAATGAAAAGCTTTGCATAATTTGGGCCATCTCCAGTTGGGGCTCAAAACTCCCATGGGGCAGCTTCAAATGCTGGCAGGTGAGAATTGCACAAGAGCTTTGCCAGTTAAAGTCTTATTGGTACAAGATCCAGGCTTTAGGACTGACTTAAAAAATAAAACATAAAGCACCGCCACAGTAGAAACAAAAGCAAAGAAACCACAGTTCAAAATCTGATACAGAGTGGAATATAGGAAACTACTAAACCATTCTGACCTCACCACCGTTGAGCAGAAAACAAGCTCAATAAGAAAGCTCCCGGCAAACTAATACAAAATCAGCAAACCCAGAGAACACTTCCTACATTTCTAGATGCAGGAGAAGTAGACATGATGGTAAAATATAGTTCAGCTTGCCTTCACAGACACAAACAACTACCAGTTCTCCTAAGACACCTGGTGTTTGCCTATCAACATATCTGGAGGGACCCGCCAACGAAGACAGAAGGAGTAGATAAATGACTTTTAAATATCTCAATATAACAGTGCACAGGAGGGAAACTTGAAGAATAACATCTCGACAATAGCTTGCAATGAGCTAAATACCTTCTGGAATTAATTCATTGCTGGCATTAAAGCACACACACAGTATGATTCGCTTATTGGTGGTGCATCAAATATACCAAAAATGCATTAGTGACTCAGTGAGGCTCTTTGGGATGAGTATTGCTCCACTCCACAGTCTTTGCCCCTACTGCCTGCCTAGTTTATATGTAAATGAATTTTTACTTTTCCAAGACTAATGTGAGACCTGTTAAATTCTCAGAGACAACACATACATTATTTTCAGCCCTATTACTTTGACTTAAAACCAAGCTATTTTAACACTAAACCCCAAATAATACCTAATCAGAAATCCAATATTCAATATCTCAGAATGTCTGTTAAGTGGCTGTTTATCACAAAGGCAGTTTTCAGTAAGTGTGGTAGTTGAACATTTTTGCACAGCTTACACCAAGAAGGAAACAAGAAGGATGCCACCAACTATATATAAACTGATCTCTGTACCTGAGCATCCATTAAGAGGTGCCTCATCAACAGCATGGAACTCTTCAAAGTCTCCTTCTCAGTGGGCAGAAAGGGGTCTTTGTCCTCCTCCAGTGCCTTAGACTTGGTGACAATAAAATGGGATATCTGGTCATTTAGGGTGTGCAATGATTGCACAGCTGCAAAAGAAAAGAGAAAAAGGCAAGTGGAATCACAACAGGTAACTTTCAAAGAGAAGTTGCCTAGTAATTTTAAAAGGAGAGGCGAGGGTGTGCACATGAGGTGTGACCCAGGCAGGTACCAAGAACCTGACACATCCATGAATCTCTTCAACACATGTTTCAGAGCTAACAAATATTTACTGAACTCTCTCCAGATTCCAAGCCTTTATCAAGTGCTCAGGGATATGATCCTGAGAAAAACCAGGCAGGATACCTACCCTCCTGGAACATCCAGTGTTGTTGGGTTAACTGAAAAGAGACAAGTTAGCAAATACTTCTATGAAGATAACTTTGTGGTGTCTATAATACAGAGATTAAAAGGGCATCAGGGGACATTTATGGTAGTAGAGTTGGTGATTTTAGTCTAAGTAGATGGACTCTATAACGTTGTACCAAGGGCCAGTGGCCATTTTTCAAAGCAATGCCGCATACGTGCTAGATTATTTTTCTAGTATCCATATAGAACTTGTCATCTGACAATCTGACATGTTAAGGGGTTTTAAGATTTCATTTATTTATTATGTTCATTGCTCCTTCTCTACTTTCTCTACCATGTACTTAGTAAGAGCAGAAACTTTTTAAAAAAATCACTTTGTTCATGGTTATATCCTCAACAACCAGGACAGTGCCTAGCAATTAGAAGGTGCTCAATAAATATTGTGGAGTTGATTTCCTTGAATAAAATTTTCTTTCTTTATAGAATTTCTTTCATTTTCAGGTAAACCTTTCCTTTCAAACCAAGAATAAGTGAGTCTTAGACATTTTCAGGAAAGCCACTTCACTAATCATAATTCTGAGAGTGAAAGTAATTATTAAAAACTAGTATAAAATAGAATGACTCAATAGCAAAAATCTGTGAAATCAAGAGCTGGTTCTTTGAGAAAATAAACAAAATAGATAAGCCTCTAGCCAAACTTATTAAGAGAAAAAGAGAATCAATACGAATCAACAGAATCAGAAATGAGAATGGAAAAATCACGACAGACTCCACAGAAATACAAATTATTAAAGACTACTATGAAAACTTATATGCCAACAAGCTGGAAAACCTAGAAGAAATGGACAACTTGTAGAAAAATACAACCTTCCAAGACTGACCAAGGAAGAAACACAAAAGTTAAACAAACCAATTACGAGCATAGAAATTGAAACGGTAATCAAAAACTACCCAAGAACAAAACCCCCAGGCTGGACGGATTAACCTCGGAATTTTATCAGACACACAGAGAAGACACAATACCCATTCTTCGTAAAGTGTTCAAAAAAATAGAAGAGGAGGGAATACTCCCAAACTCATTCTATGAAGCCAACATCACCCTAATACCAAAACCAGGCAAAGACCCCACCAAAAAAGAAAATTACAGACCAATATCCTTGATGAATATAGATGCAAAAATACTCAATAAAATATTAGCAAACCATATTCAAAAATATATCAAAAGGATCATACACCATGACCAAGTGGGATTCATCCCAGGGATGCAAGGATAGTACAACATTTGAAAATCCATCAACATCATCCACCACATCAACAAAAAGAAAGACAAAAACCACATGATCATCTCCATAGATGCTGAAAAAGCATTTGACAAAATTCAACATCCATTCATGATAAAAACTCTCAGCAAAATGGGAATAGAGGGCAAGTACCTCAACATAATAAAGGCCATATATGATAAACCCACAGCCAACATTATACTGAACAGCGAGAAGCTGAAAGCATTTCCTCTGAGATCGGGAACTAGACAGGGATGCCCACTCTCCCCACTGTTATTTAACATAGTACTGGAGGTCCTAGCCATGGCAATCAGACAAAACAAAGAAATACAAGGAATCCAGATTGGTAAAGAAGAAGTTAAACTGTCACTATTTGCAGATGATATGATACTGTACATAAAAAACCCTAAAGACTCCACTCCAAAACTACTAGAACTGATATCGGAATACAGCAAAGTTGCAGGATACAAAATCAACACACAGAAATCTGTAGCTTTCCTATACACTAACAACGAATCAATAGAAAGAGAAATCAGGAAAACAATTCCATTCACCATTGCATCAAAAAGAATAAAATACCTAGGAATAAACCTAACCAAGGAAGTGAAAGACTTATACTCTGAAAACTACAAGTCACTCTTAAGAGAAATTAAAGGGGACACTAATAAATGGAAACTCATCCCATGCTCATGGCTAGGAAGAATTAATATCGTCAAAATGGCCATCCTGCCCAAAGCAATATACAAATTTGATGCAATCCCTCTCAAATTACCAGCAACATTCTTCAATGAATTGGAACAAATAATTCAAAAATTCATATGGAAACACCAAAGACCCCGAATAGCCAAAGCAATCCTGAAAAAGAAGAATAAAGTAGGGGGGATCTCACTCCCCAACTTCAAGCTCTACTACAAAGCCATAGTAATCAAGACAATTTGGTACTGGCACAAGAACAGAGCCACAGACCAGTGGAACAGATTAGAGACCCCAGAAATTAACCCAAACATATATGGTCAATTAATATTTGATAAAGGAGCCATGGACATACAATGGCAAAATGACAGTCTCTTCAACAGATGGTGCTGGCAAAACTGGACAGCTACATGTAGGAGAATGAAACTGGACCATTGTCTAACCCCATATACAAAGGTAAACTCAAAATGGATCAAAGACCTGAATGTAAGTCACGAAACCATTAAACTCTTGGAAAAAAACATAGGCAAAAACCTCTTAGACATAAACATGAGTGATCTCTTCTTGAACATATCTCCCCGGGCAAGGAAAACAACAGCAAAAATGAGCAAGTGGGACTACATTAAGCTGAAAAGCTTCTGTACAGCGAAAGACACCATCAATAGAACAAAAAGGAACCCTACAGTATGGGAGAATATATTTGAAAATGACAGATCTGATAAAGGCTTGACGTCCAGAATATATAAAGAGCTCACACGCCTCAACAAACAAAAAACAAATAACCCAATTAAAAAATGGGCAGAGGAACTGAACAGACAGTTCTCCAAAAAAGAAATACAGATGGCCAAGAGACACATGAAAAGATGCTCCACATCGCTAATTATCAGAGAAATGCAAATTAAAACTACAATGAGGTATCACCTCACACCAGTAAGGATAGCTGCCATCCAAAAGACAAACAACAACAAATGTTGGCGAGGCTGTGGAGAAAGGGGAACCCTCCTACACTGCTGGTGGGAATGTAAATTAGTTCAACCATTGTGGAAAGCAGTATGGAGGTGCATCAAAATGCTCAAAACAGACCTACCATTTGACCCAGGAATTCCACTCCTAGGAATTTACCCTAAGAACGCAGCAATCAAGTTTGAGAAAGACAGATGCACTCCTATGTTTATCGCAGCACTATTTACAATAGCCAAGAATTGGAAGCAACCTAAATGTCCATCTGTAGATGAATGGATAAAGAAGATGTGGTACATATACACAATGGAATACTACTCAGCCATAAGAAGTGGAAAAATCCAACCATTTGCAGCAACATGGATGGAGCTGGAGAGTATTATGCTCAGTGAAATAAGCCAAGCGGAGAAAGAGAAATACCAAATGATTTCACTCATCTGAGGAGTATAGGAACAAAGGAAAAACTGAAGGAACAAAACAGCAGCAGAATTACAGAACCCAAAAATGGACTAACAGGTACCAAAGGGAAAGGAACTGGGGAGGATGGGTGGGCAGGGAGGGATAAGGGGGGGGAAGAAGAAGGGGGGTATTAAGATTAGCATGCATGGGGGGGAGGGAGAAAGGGGAGGGTGGGCTGCACAACACAGAGAGGACAAGTAGTGACTCTACAACATTTTGCTAAGCTGATGGACAGTAACCGTAATGTGGTTGTTAGGGGGGACCTGATATAGGGGAGAGCATAGTAAACATAGTATTCTTCAGGTAAGTGTAGATTAAAATTTAAAAAAAAAAAAGAAAGAAAGAAAGAAAAGGGGGATTACTCCTTAACAGGATAAAACTATTGGTAAATCAAAGATCAACGCATGCTTTAAATATCCTTAATGTTGATCACTTAAAGGGTGTCAGATGATCAGCTATGGAGGTACTCTTTTCTGATAATATTCCTTTCTCTTAATTAAAAAAAAAAAAAAAAGCAGTTACTGTGTGCTGACCTCCAATGAGTTCTGCACAGTGGTATAGAGGGCATGTCAAAGTGTGGGCAAAGGGTCTGTTTGTTTCTACGCAGAAGATCAAGGCCTAGCTTGGATACCCAGAAAATGAACTAAGATACGATATGAGGAGGAGCTTCCGGCATCAGCACTCTCTGGAGGACTCGTGCCGGGGGATGATCATCAAAAAGCCTCCACAGGGATCCGGACGATGCTGCGGTTGTGGCTGCATCCAGCCCACCGTCTCCTGGACTTGCCATAAGAAGGAGGAGGGAGATGTCTAGGCTGGCATGTGCATACAGTGAGACAACGAATTTGACTGGATCTGTACTGTTGGAACTCAACCAGGAGTTGGGAGGGGTGCAAGTTGTAGCACCCCAAAATCTCATGACTATAGACTATCTATGGTTAAAAGAACATATGGGATGTGAACAGATCCCAGAAATGGGCTGCTTTAATTTGTCTGATGGTTCAAGTACAGTTGGACAATATCCATCATATCATAGATAAATTTTCACAAATGCCTAGGGTGCCTAAATGGTTTTCTTGGCTTCACTGGAGATGGCTGGTAATTATAGATTTGCTTTGTTTATGTCACCGTATTCCTATTATGTTAATATGTGTGTGCAAATTAGTTAGTAGTTTAAAACCTATACATACTTAAGGTACTATACAAGAAGATATGTCAAAGAAATAATCAATCCTCCCAAGTTTCCTTCATATGCTACATCTATAGCTTTTCTTCTTCCTTCCTAATTACAACCCTTAAATAGAATTCGTGCCTCATATCGAATTTACCGAGTATCATAATTCCTCCAG